TAATAGGTTGGAGGCCATCGCTAATAGGTTGGAGGCCATCGCTAGTAGGTTGGAGGCCATCGCTCCGAAGCTAGTCCAAAGACAATGCCTTCATGCCATCCACCTCACCCTGATAAGAAGGTGAGTCGATTGACTGTGCTTCATTCCAACATAGCGATGGCCTGCAACCTACTGGCACTATGCTTCACTCTTCTGTACCGGTTCCTCCCACGAAGCTTGGCCCTTCATGGCCAACCTGTCAAGCACCTGGTCAAGCAGCTGTCCCCAGTTGAGGTGTCCATCCTGAAGCAAATAGAGAGATAGGAGTGGTCCAAAAGAGATGGCATAGACCACCAACATCCACATCACCTCAGCACGAATAATTCCTGAGGTTTGTTGGCCGCCCGGTGTGGGACGTAAGTGAATCCCCTGTGGGTTTGGGTGGCTTTTCCCTACTGGCTATGCATACTAGCCTGTTCTGACCATCCCTCGTTTCAATCTGAAAGTTGGACCCCTCAAATACAACTCGAAGAAGTCTCTCACATCTTGAAATGTTGATCCTTCAGCTCATTTGCCTAGGTCAACTGGGGCACAGACCTAAGAACTGATGCCTGACGTCAAATACCAAAGTACCTCAGGCCTCAAGACCTAATACCTTAGGCCTATGCGTACCTTTGGATACCTAATACTTTGTCAAATGAAACTCCTCAGGATTGGGTCTTACTAAGGCCTCCTTGTCAAGATGGACATTCCGCAGCCCCAAACTTGCAGGGGAGACTTGACCGGGACGCGTAAAGATTCGCAGAGCACCGGTATAGAAACTTCAAGTATACATGTTGGACCAGGGCTCCAGGTCTTTACGCCGCGGTATCAGCCAGAGTCGAGACGAAGCTAGCTGACCTTCTTACCCAGTCTGGAGAAGACGATGTCCTTGCACCCCCCCCAATGAAAAAGCAATGCAAGTTTTGACCCCATTCCCAAGTCGTTGCCGGGCGGACAACCCACCCCACCCAGGTCATGTGCCCTCCATCCCGCCCCCTCCTCCTGCCCCGCTTCCCGGTCGCAGTTACTAGTGCTCCAGGTCGTCCTTCCAGTCGTGCCACAAGGATCCTAGTGCCGCAGATCGTCGCTTGGATTCAGGAGGCTTCACAAGGGAGAGAGCAGCTGCACCCGACGTCTGGTTGATGGACGTCTGGGAGAACCGTATTCTAGGGAGGGCCCGAACAGTTAGCTTAGGCTTAGAACTTAGAACTTAGAACCGTTCTGTTCTATTGGGATCTACAGCGAATCTCAAACGTGATTGGCCCAAGAGCGAGCTTTGCAAAGGCACACCTTCTGCACTGTCAACGCATGAAAGTCACCCGCCAACTCAATTGGGGTAGAACCTTCAACAGAAAACCTCTCTATTTCCACAGATCTTCCTAGTAACAAGGGCATCGCTACTAGCAACAAGGGCATCACTACTAGTAACAAGGTGCATCGCTACTAGTAGCCTAGTAGCAAGAAGCTACTAGTAGCTAAGTGCATGACTCCTACGCCAAACCACGCTGAACTCGCCGCACTCGCTAGGCTGTTTTAGCGCCCACCTCGACCGCCACCGGGTTCCGCGCGGAAGCGCGCGCCTGAGGAAGGGATAGAGCAGCCAACTGGGCAGCAAGGCCTCGATGGTCCAGCTGGGCGGTGCCGGACACCACGTGGCCGGACGAATCCAGTGCTGGACGAAGCCGAAGCAGCCCAGCAGCGTCCTGGTGGGTAGTGATGGGGTGGAGCCGATCGAGGAACCGGTTTTGGATCGAGCAATCCGACTCTTGGTCCTGAGAAAGCAGCACCCCTTCTTTGGCACAAATTGAGACGTGTATCGCATGTCACAAATGCGCTTTGGCTCAAAAAAAACACTTTGCAGATGTGCAAAGATAAGGATCATTATCTTTAAAGATAAAGGCTTAAACCACTCAACAAGAGGTCCAAGATAAAGAGGAACCACTCGGGTTCCAGGGGTCTGCCGTATAGAACCCACGAGTTCGGTGCGGAAGGAGTTGGACACCGGAGCCCGTTGTCTCCAGAACCTAGTGTTATCCATTTCTTTTGGATCTACTGATTCTACACTGTAATTCTACAGGTTTTCAAACTACTAGTAACAAAGGGCATCGCTACTAGTAGCGATCGGACGCTACAAACGTAGCTCCTGGCATTGCTACCAGTAGCAAGAATGCTACTAGGAACGTTTCGACGCAGTATATTCCTGGCTGGGAAACATCCTGTCGACCATTGGTTTGTGTGCAGCCCAAACTCGCTGGTCACGGCAGGAAAAGAACCCAACGACATGAGTCTTCCACCGCAAAGGTAGATGAACATGGTCTCCAGAAGATCCACTCTGTTTTTTCCCACCTCTTCAAGACATGTGTAAGCTCTTAGGTTGGAGGCCATCGCTAGTAGGTTGGAGGCCATTTCCATCTCTTCAGGACTCGTGTAAGGTGTCATCCAATCAGGGTCCCAGTGCCCCCCGGTCGTGCGGGTGACCTCTTCATCCTCCCAAGATTCGAGATGCTGGGCAAAAAACTGTCTCGATATTCTTCCACCGCCAAGACCACCAGCAAACTCCAAAGCATCGCCACATAGCTGGTGATCAGGATATGAGCCATGCGTAGCCTCATGGCGATCGAATTGGTGGACGGCGTAGCCTCTTCGTTCGGCCATTGGCTGATATTGGAGTGTATTAGGGGGACTCTCAACCAATGGGTAGACAGGTCTATTTCCCGAACCTTCCAAGGGGGCCGTTGCCTGGGGGGTCTCCACATAGCTCAGGGAGAACGATGATGAAGTGAGATTTGACGGACCAGGGAGAGGCATTGAGCCACATCGCTTCTAGGTTGGAGGCCATTGCTAATAGTTCGCTAGCAGGTTGGAGGCCATTGCTTAAATATATACAGCAAGGGTGGTAACAAGAAGCTAGTAGTAACAAGTGCATCGCTACTAGTAACAAGTGCCTTACTAGTAGTAACAAGAAGCTATTAGAAACAAGTGC